TTGGATGACTAATTTTTTATCAAACCACAGAATGACTATCTAATTCCAATACCCTAGTACATTATTACTAAACCCTCTTTTAGTTCTAACATTTCAAAACTGTGTTAAAAATGTCAACTTCTATAGCTCAGTTGTTCCTCTTAAACAGTGATTAGTCTGGAAAGTACAACCAATAAGCAGTGACATTTATTTGATAGAAAATTAATAAAGTACAAAAAATGTTTTTTAGATCTAGGGTGAAATTCTATCTCCACTGAAATCAGTGGCTAAACTCCCACTGACTTCAACAAAGCCAGGAATTTACCCCTAATATGTCAGAGCCCACACACTGATTTCATGAGAACACAAGAACTTCAGTATAAATTCCAATCTGAAATTTGTATTGATGTATCTTTAATGGTTCTGTTTTTCTGTTAGCACCACATGCAACCTGGACTACAATAACTGCATTTTGCATTTGATTTCTTTCCATAGAAGCATTCTGTATCCCTGTGTATCTCTCTTATGCCATCACAGACAACTGGATATTCGGAAGAGGCTTCTACAAACTTCGGCAAGTTGTAGCCCATCTTATGTGCACACCTTCAGCATTTCACATCATCCTCAACAGCTATAATATGTCTCTGTCAGTTACTAAAGCTGTATGTATAGTGTATGCAGTGAGCTGTTAATTCCTACTAATACAGAGATAAATGATATTTCAGATTAAACTGAAGACAATACTATTATAATTTTTCATGAGTTGGTTTTAAAATATAAAAAGTCAGCCAAATTGTGGCTTTAGACCATAATTCAGCAATGAAGCTTGTGCTGAATTTAGAAAACATGAGTAGTCCTATTAACTAAAAAAGCTTTAACAGTATTTTTATATTGTGTTTGTGAAAATTAATTTTTTCTTTTCAACTCTGGTGATGGAGGCCAGATAGCTAGCTAGTTATGGCCTGATCCTATATCTCTGAAATTAACCCCGGCACAGGGTGGGGCAGAAGATTTGGGGGTGGGGATTGTGTTTCTGTTGGGAGGTTTGATTAACTCTCTGAAGAGGTAGACTTTCATGACTTAGCTAGAGGGCTAGGTTACCTCTGCAACCTAATGGTACCGAGAGCCAGAAAACCATCTGAGGGGAAACTAAGGTGTGACATTTAGGGAAACTGAGGCAGCACACTGGCCAAAAGCCAGATCAGGTATGTCTCTGGTAGTCCTATTGGCTTAAAACAAGCAATCTTATTGAAGTCAATGAAACTGCTAATATGCTTAAAGTTAATCAAGTGTTTCGGTGCTTTACTGGATCAGGGCCTAATTCAGGATTGTATTCTACTGCACTCTCTCTTTTTAATCACTTTTTCCCTTGTGTTAATATGCACAATAGTCTGCACCAGCCCTATCAAGCTTTCACTGTATGTCTTATGCTCTTTTAATATTATTTTAGGTGGCTTATTAAATTCAACAGGCAAGGATTTCAAACACCCTAGCTATGATGGTAGCAATTGGGATTTTGCATTCATACCCCATGATGACCCAGCAATTATCATTTGGGAACATGTGGCTGCCTGCAGCACCATAACAGATGGCAAATGCTACACGGAATATTATCTCACCTGGTCTTTTCATGTGTATACTTCAGTCTTAAGCACTTTTATATGAGCAATATCTGTGGCCTATTCCCACATGCACATTTACCACAACATAAAAACACACAAAAGAAGTCAACTGAGTAGGACACCCAGTATTAGCAGACCTTCAGAGAGCAGTGAAGGGCCATTAAGACTTTTTTTCTTCCTGGAAAAATATAAAACTGTACATAAGGAGGAAATACCTAATCCTTAAACAGACTGGTAAACCTGACTTCAGTACCAGGCAAACTGCTTGAAACTATAGTAAAGAACAAGACTGTCAGACACATAGATGAACATAATTTGTTGGGGAAGAGTCAACATGTTTTTTGTAAAGTGAAATCATGCCTCACCAATCTACTAGAATTCTTTGAGAGAGTCAACAAGAACGTGGACAAGGGGGATCCAATGGATATAGTGTACTTAGATTTTCAGAAAACCTTTGACAAGGTCCCTCACCAAAGGCTCTTAAGCAAAGTAAGCTGTCATGGGATAAGAGGGAAGGTCCTCTCATGGATTGGTAACTGGTTGAAAATGCAACTCAGTGTGTGTAATGACATCTTTCTCTAGTGCATGACACCAGCAACTGTAACAGCTTGCTACTTGCAGTTAAAGAAATTCTCTGTTAGCTCAAACAGGAAAAATCTCAAAGTTTGGTGCAGAAGATTTTTGGTTTCATCCCTGATCTGTATATAGCTGCAGTCATTATACATGCAGGCTCTAATTCATGGGAACTGAGGTACATGAAGAGTCCCACTGAAGTCAATGCTAAAGTATGTGCTAAAGTACATTCCTGAATCATGACCACACACATTAATTAAACAGAAGTGTTACAGATACATTTTTCAAAAGTTCTTCCTTCAAGGAACATTTTATTTGCAAAATGGCTATAGAAACATGGCTGAGGATTTTTTGCCAAGATTGAAGTATCAGTTTAATGTTTAAAAAGTCCTCTACTGGAGGAACGTATCCCACCTTTTCAGGGAAATGGACTCAATTATGAGTCTTTTCGGTTTATAACTACAATATTTTCCATTTAGGTCAAGTATATTCCTTGGAAACACAGAACTCCCACTTAACTCAATGCAAATGCAACAGTACTGTATATCTCACATCTACTCACTGGCCCTAGACTGCATAAGAATTTTCACCAAGTACCTACCCTAATAATCTAATGCTCCCCATTATGTAATCTATTATCCTGTATGGTTAGCTGAGGAGCAAATTCTGAATGGTGGCAAACACTCTCACGAAATTGCTCCTCTCTTCCTAATGAAAAGAGAACACTTGCATCACCTATTTAGTTGTAAGGCATACAAATTTCATTTAGGTTTTTTTTTTTTTTTTTTTTTTTAGTAAATATTACATTTTATTTACAGCATCTCTGTGATTTTAAACATTTACCACCCAGGAATAGTTTTTAAAACACATATCCTAGAAAGGTATAAATCTGTCCATGTCCTGTTTCATATCCAGCAAAAGGAACATGTTACTGATAGTTCTGTTTATGTTTATATCCCACAATTACTGTCCCACTGCAGATTCTGAATGATACTCAGCCCAGCTGATCACTGTAATGTTTGCATGGATGTGAAAGCCGCCTAGAATATCTAGGAAAAAATCTGCACATGCTGGGGTTCATAATGACTGCTGTAACAGTTTAAAAAGGACTCCCTCAGGAGGTGGGTAGTTGTTTGGAGGAACCAGACAAAGACAAGGTATCACCTGCAGTGTCTGAAGAAGCTAGGTCTGCCTTGATCACTGTCAATAGGATGATAAAATAGAAATGTGTGTAGACTGTTGCTTTAAGGTCTTTTTTCTTTCTCTAGATCCCCATATCCAGACTATATCTAAATCTTGCCAATTCTTTCTGCATAACTCTTTAAAGGAGCCTTTCTTATCCATTCACACAGCTAAAACTCTCATCCAAGTTCTCATCATCTTGCATCTCAATTACTGCGACATCCTTCTCTCTGGATGTGACAAATGCCATCTTGCTTTTCTCATATGTCCATTCAGAATACTTTGGCAAAGATCATTTTCCTAGGCCATAGCTTTAAGCATGTCACTCCTCTCTGCCTCCCTCCACTGGCTCCCCCTTCTCTATCGCATTAAACATAAGCTGCTTCTCTTCATTTTCAAGGTCCTTCATGAGTAATCCCCACTTTGCGTATCATCTCTCATTCACTATTAAGAAGTTGATGCTTACCTCCAATCAGCCCATGCCAGCCTCCATCGCCCACTTGTTACATTTTCAAATAAGCACCTTCATGGTTTCTCCTATGCTATCTCTCCTATGCTTGGGAGATGTTCCCCATAAACACTCTCAAAGCTGCCTAATTATCCTCCTCCAAATCCCTTCTCAAAACTCTCCTCTGCTGTGATGCCTACAAGAAACTTGACAAGTTAGGCTGCTGATGGACTGAGACCATTGCCTATCATGCTGATTCTTGTACTCCCTCATCTGTTTGTCTCTATCTGTTGTCTCTTGTGTTATACTTAGTCTGTAAGCTCTTTGGGGGCAGAGATCGTCTTTTTGTTGTACTTGTGCACTGCTGGGCACTGGGGTCTAGTCAATGACTAGCTCTGCTAAGTGCTACAGTAATATAACAATAAATACTTTTTCCTGCTGTTAAAATAAACAGTACTTTTGTTTAAAAAGGTTGCCTGATCACTGCATACTGCTGGTCACGGACTCCTGAAAGGAAGAACTACCTAAGCATGGTTGACACAATAGGGTACTGAAGCCCTGGGCCTGGTCTAGGAGTGGGGGGATTGCACGATTCCATCCCAGAAGAGGTAAGGGCACAAGGCCAGATAACGGTGTGCGCTCAGAGAGACCAGCAAGGGGACAGAGGTGCAGCTGGCCCGGTAACTGTGACACCAAGTCTCTGCATTCTGCACTGGCAGACTCAGAATTATGCGGCAGCTCCAATGAAATGAAAACACTGAGATTTTTATCACCATGTATTGAAGTCTAGAGGCCAAAATCAGGATCGGGACCCATGGCGCTGAGTGTTTTGTCGATCACCTGAAAGGGATCCACGCCTCGGAGAGTTTACAGCCGAGTGACGAGAGGCCGGGGTTGCTAAGGCCGGGCGGGCGGGCGAGCGCACACGGGCTGGCCGCGCAGGCGAATGACGAGGAATGGACGCGGGGTTAGGTACGTTTCGAGGCGAGCAGCGCAGCCCGCACAGCCCCGCACGCGGCCGGGTTACTCCTGGGCAGCTCCGATCGCAGCTGTTCGAGGCTGGCTCCATCTCTGCGGGTCACTCATCCCCGCCCCGCACGGCTCTGTTCCCCCGGCCCGGGGCCACCCTCCCGCCGCCGCCGCCGCCCACGAGCGGAGCAGAACATCAGCCCCAAGGCCCCCCCCGCCGGCCACTCCGGCCGCGCATGCGCCTTCGCACCACGCACGCCTTCGGGGCGGGGAGACCGTCCTCGCGGCGGCCGGCGCGTGGGGCTGGGAGGGACGTGCCCCGCCCCGGGGCCCAATGGCAGCGAGTGACGCGGAAACGGCCCAGAGCCAAGTGGGTGCTGGGGGCGCGGGGGTTAAACACGCCGGGCTCGGCTCCGGGGACGGTCCCGGCCGGGCTGTGCGCGGTGACCCGGCCGCCCGGGGTGGCGCCTCCTGCTGCGAGCCCTGCCGGGCTATCGTCCCCCACCCCCGCCATAGCCTCCTTCGAGTCCTGCCCCTCACCCCCCCTTCAAACCGCCCCCGCCCCCAGGTACAGCGCCCTGTCCCCCACCCCCCGGCCTTCACAACCTCCCGCCCCCGCCCCCACGTACAGCGCCCTGCCCCTCACCCAGCCTTCACAATCCCCTCCTGCCCCCACCCCCACGTACGGTGCCCTGCCCCTCACCTGGCCTTCACAAGCTTCCCGCCCCCACCCCCACTTACAGCGTCCTGCCCCTCACCCGGCCTTCACAACCAGAACTGCCCCCTCCCCCCCATGTACAGCGCCCTGCCCCTCACCCGGCCTTCACAATCCCCTCCTGCCCCCACCCCCCACGTACGGTGCCCTGCCCCTCACCTGGCCTTCACAACCAGAACTGCCCCCTCCCCCCATGTACAGTGCCCCCCCTCACCCGGCCTTCACAACCAGAACTGCCCCCCCCCCCATGTACAGCGCCCTGCCCCTCACCCGGCCTTCACAACCAGAACTGCCCCCTCCCCCCATGTACAGTGCCCGCCCCTCACCCGGCCTTCACAACCAGAACTGCCCCCTCCCCCCCATGTACAGCGCCCTGGCCCTCAACCGGCCTTCACAACCAGAACTGCCCCCTCCCCCCCATGTACAGCGCCCTGCCCGTCACCCGGCCTTCACAATCCCCTCCTGCCCCCCCCCCCCACGTAATGCTTTGCTATTTAGAGCCACTGTGTATTAAAAACACCAGTGGCTACAGGAGCCTCATCTATGCTAGGAATGACACCGTTTGCTACCACAAGTGGGACAATGGGAAATTTACCAAATACACCTATGTTGTAGGCACCAACTTTGTTTTTGTCTGTTAAAAATATGTACAAGCAGGGAAATCAAATGCATAAAGCTACAAAAAAGCAACTTTGTTGTTGAGAGTTTAAAAGAAGAAGTCATTAAATTAAAACTGTTGAACTGTTATTTCCCAAGACACCAGCATCTAAATGTTTTGTCCGCTGTATCATTTTTAAAGAACCATTTGTCCTGTCAATATAATTGGTAAATTCAGAGTAATGTGTTCACATATGCCCCAATCCTGCAATGAGTTCTTTGCAGGCTCAAGTGATTGGATAGAGCTAGCTCCATTGACTTTAACTGGGCTCCATGCAGGTGGAAACCTGTAGTATGACCTTTTCAGATGTGGTTTTTCAAGTTGATGGTGTCCATTTAAAATGTTTGATGTGTAGCACTGAAAAGATGCAAAAATCATATCAGTGCAGTAAGTTATGTGTTTGACAACTTTCATTTCATTTACAGATAGGGGCACAATTCTGGTGATTGGGAATTGAGGGTGCTCAGCACCTTAGAGGGTCGGGTTCTTTGTCATTTAACATACTTTTCTTGTAGATCGATGAAATTGACGCTCTCTCATCTATATATGGTGATGACTGGTGTGTTGTTGATGAAGATGAAAGGATATTTTGCATTAAGATTAGTGATTGTTTGGAGCAGCCAAAATGGACTCTCTGTTTGCAGGTATGTTGTTGATACAGAGTTTGGCCCAGTTTCTGCTATTGGAATCATGGAGGGTTGCTCTTTGTGCCTTGTTTAATGGGGCTCCATATAGACTCAAGGGTCTGCTCCTATGGATCCAGTCGTAGGATAAAGGCTTTTCACAGTCTGTTCAGTTATTGTCTCCTTAAAATGTCGCTGTCTGCTATCTTTTTCAGTAATTATTTTTGCTTTTTCCACACCCTTAAATATTTTAATTAAAAGTGTATTTCCCGGATAGTCCTTTCATTATTTATCTATTTATACACTGTATTTTGCATAGAAGGGCTGGCTGAATTGGTGCAGCTGGTTCTCTTACTGCTTTATTCCAGAATTAGAAAGAAACCATTTTAGACTGCATTACAGTTCAGCCTTACCTGACTTTGAAAGATTTTCTACTAGATGTTGCAATCAGTGTTTGTAAAATGTTTAGGATACCAGTCCTATATGGCTTTGTACAGTATTACAAGTCAGGAGCATTCCAAGCAATAGTTTGTTGCAATACTTTTTTGTTTAGTGTAGACAGGGCTGAAGTGTATATGTATACTTCTAACCTTTTTTCTTTATAGTAAAGGATATATCGTATGCTACTTTATCTGTTCACAGAGTGTAGCGTATATGACACTTTGTTTGTATCACAGATGGGCAAAAGCCTGAATTATACGCTCACACTAGAAATACAGCCTTTATATCATCACATAATAATGGAGCAACCTATGTCCTCCTTTTTATAACACGGCTTACCATCCAAATACTCCAATTGGTTTTGCCATAGTCTGTTTTTAATTTAGCTAGTTTTGGAGGTCCAACCTGATGAATATTTATACTTAATATTCTTTTTAGGTGATTCTGCCTTCTGAATATCCAGCTGCAGCCCCACCTATTTATCAACTGAAGTAAGTGATGTCTCTTTGTCAACAGATTTTTATTTTAAACATTTACTGCATTTTGTTTCAAATTATTATTATTGCAGCTGCTTGTAGAAGTTTAAGGTAACTCTCTGGTTGAATTGAATATATATCCTGGGAATTAGAGATGTTAACAAACTTTTGTAAAGTTTACAGTTTAATTTGGGATTGAAATGTTAGCATTACAGGATTAAAGGATCACTGGGCAAGTGTGTTAGGCCAGGATGGAAGCAGGGACAGAGAGAACAAAAGCAGCAGCATGCACAGCTTTTGGGGAGACAGTGGAGAGATGTTACGTTATGCTAAGAGCAACTCTGGAACCAAGTAAATGGAAAGTGTGTTGAGCCCTCTTCAAATGGAGTGATGGGGTAATCCCAAAGTAGGGCGTTAGAGGGGAGCAGTAGAATATCTTGGAAGACTGCTTACCCTGAGATGTTAGAAAACCAAAATCTTTATCAGTGGGAACAGTTGACAATATTTTGTCTTAAAGGTTTTACTTTTGAATGTAATTTTTTTAAATCAATCATTTTTTGAGCTAAACAAAGACACCAAAATGCAGAGTTTGTAGGCACTAATTTCATTGTATTTTTTTTTGGTCATTCTAGTGCCCCTTGGCTTCGAGGACAGGATTATATGGAACTAGCAAATAGCCTGGAAGAAATCTATGTGTAAGTGGCAGAAGATGGAAAATTCTAAAAATTCAGTTGCACATCTCTCTAAACCTATTATGTTAACTGGATTACTCCTGCGGGAATTCTGTGCCAAAAAATTAAAAATTATGCGCACAATATTTTAAAATTCTGTAAAATTCTGTCTTTTTTAAGTCAAAATAATGCAATATAATCTGTCTAGTTTCAATTATTTTGGTAATTTATTTAAACTATAATACAATGGATGGAGAATGGGAGTGGGGAGCATTGGAGGAAGTTTCCAAACCCCCTCTGTCTAATAGTAATGTAGCTAGTATTGACCCTTTACTTCTAATTGTTAGTCAACAAATATATGCAGCCACATGCTCAGTGTTACATCATAGGCAACTGAAGAGCAAGGGCGGGCTGGGGGCTCAAACTCACAATTTATACTGGCTACCGACCATCTCCAAAAAGGTCAGTAGCAAACAATTCATGGAGCACATTTTGATAGCAAATTTTTTCAGTCCAAAAATTTTGACCAGTTCTAATCACTAAAGCACCATAAGCATTTATAAGACCATACTGTCCTTTACAATAAGGCTCCTTTACACCACTCTGGCAATGTAAAGGACCCTTAACATTTTTACACCTGTTTTATACTCCTGGGGGAATTCACTAAGCACAATGGGAACAATTCACTAAGCAGGCAGGCTGCTGCGTTCTCCTCTGCCTGAGGGAACAGAGCCTGCCCCACGCCCACCTCTTCAGAAATACCCCAAAGCCCGGCCCCTGCATGCCGAGCATGTTGCAATAGCAAGCGAGAGGGACAGAGTGTCTCTCTCTCACACACATATGACTACCCAGCCCCCACGACTCCCAGGCAGTGATTTATATCTCTACCGGCTGCTCTGGGTGCCCAAACCAACCTGTCTGCACTGCCAGAGAGTGGGTGCATGACTGCTCTTGCGACTTCCCTTTGTGTCCCCGTCAGAAGTCATTTTTCTGCGAGTAAGCAAAGAAATCTGCTTGGGCCATGAATTCTGCACCCACACAGTGATGCAAAATTCCCCCAGGAGTACTAGATGCTTGAATCAGAAGGATTGAGGTAATTGCTGTAACAGCTGAAATGAAGTAAGACTTCTGCATAAATAAAATAGTCTAATCTAATAGATACTTACTGTACATTTTATACATCTGTTAAATTATTTTGAGAATGGGGCATTATATAAAGTTACAAGCATTAATCTTGATGGATAATTTCTATTATCATTATAATTTTTAAACCCTTTGTACCATTGATATAGAATTCTTTGTTTTGACTTATAATATATGTTAGGTTACTTTTAGAGTTTGGTCCCAGGAAGTCAAATTCCTTATGTCCAATCTATATCCATATAGTAAACTGCAGGATCTGAAAATACCTACTCAGACCTTTGAACACAGGCAGAAACCAGTTTTTATTAAAAGCAAATGTTTCCTCTAAAGAAAAAGTGAATTTTAAATAAAAGTAGCCTTAGAAAATATTAACTATAAAGCCACTCAGTAGCTAGAAGAGGCTTGTTAATGTAATGTGCAGATAACAGAACTTCTCATAATGTGTGAGAATAAATAAATATTTAGAAATGCTCAGACTGTGTTTTTGCAGGGTTTATTGGTGTTAGCATGGGATAATAGAAACAATAATTTTATATATTCTATTTTATCCAATCTGATCCTAAAGCTTGATATGAACCTAACAAAAGTGAAATACACATTAAGCACTGAGGTCATGTCATTCAATACTGAAATACAAAAATCTTTGGTGGGGACTTTGGTAGATTTTAAATGGCAGGAAACAACACTGTAAGTCAGTTAGGGCCTGGAGGCAGATACCTTATCTAACTAAGCCCTGGAGAATCTAGGGAGGTAGAATGTAATTACCAAAGTTAAAACTTGAACAGAGTGTGGGGGTTAACAGCTCTACTCCTATGAAAAGTGCTATAGGGACCTTTAATGACCAGAGATTCCCCAGCCAGGGTGATGCTTGGCATGGGGGAGTCTCTAGCATGTGTAGATACACAGTAGCTGGCTTCTGCACATTTTGACCCACAGCATTTGGAACGGGGGCCATATCGAGGTTTGGGGTGCAGTGGCCAGGGTGTGATATACTCTGACTATTCCTAGCTGGTGCGTGGACCCTTGTGGACCATAGTTAGCTGGTGCAAGTTAGAACTGTCCCCAGGATGGGAATGTGGGAAATGTAACTGGCAATTTGACATTTCCACCCCCCTCTTTGTTTTGCTTAGGAGAAACTGATTGCAGCAACAGATCTGTCCTTCTATCTCATTCGGCAGTCTGTATTAAAAGCAGTGGTCTCTAACATGCTGGACTTGCTCTGGTTCAGTTTTAAGTTGGTGGCAGGAGTGCCCCCTACAGGATTGACTACCATAGCTTTACAGCACTCACTTATTTTTGTAGGGCTCTGAGCTCTAACCTATCCAAACCTTGGATAATCTTCTGTTAAACATAAATAACTTAGATTATTCTCAAATCTTTCACTAATTATTTTAAGTGATCTGTCTGACTTTTAGTCACTGCCAACATGTCTGATACACACTGCAGTGGAAGGCAAGCAGCGTCCACACTTGTCACGGCGATGTGTAGCTATATGCGGCAATGAAAGGCTCCGGCAGCCAGGAAGCAGTGCCAGGGAAAGGCTCCAGTGGGGAGGGGGAGATCACACTGCTAAAAATATCTGTGTAGATGGAAATGCTGCTTGGGCGGTAAGAGCCTCCCTGGGATTTCAGGGGTGTGAGGCACTCTACTCACCGAAGCCATGCTTTGCCATCCACATTGTTGTTTATACCTGTGCTAGCTGGGGGTGCAGTGTCTCCTTTGCACACTGCCATAAGTGTACACGTACCTTTTCTTAAACTGGCCCCTGTGCTATCCTGCCCATGAACATTGCAGTTTAGGTGCTTTTTCCTACCTCATTAAGAAGTTTTAGTCATTGACAATACAGATATAACTTGAATAATGTTGGTTTTATATCGCAGAATTACAAACCACAAACAGAACTCTGGGTCCCTTAATATATTAAAAGTTACACATTCAACAAGTGTAGACACTTATTCCTTTCCAAGAGATTCTCAGTATCAGGCTTCTGTTAAATGAACAGTTTAATTTAACATCGTTGGTACAAATGCTAAGAAAATCAAAGCAACCTTGGAACAGGAACTACCAGAATGGGAGTAGCGTAGAAATAGGCAGGGTTTAAGGTGTGGCTAATATTCAAGAAGTCCTCAGGGAGTTGCCTGGACCCATCAGTGACACTGCATGAGATTTGTCCGATCTCACCCATTCCAGAACATTTCCTAATGAGAGTTCAGTAATATGAAATCTGCTATGAAGTGGAAAACATTAAATATAATAAATAGAATTGCTAAACAAAATTATTCATGACTCTGTAGTTAAAATTCTTGCTCTTCATTATACAGAATTTAATAAATTGCAAGTATTAAAAAATGGTACTGGTATACATACTTGTCGGAAAGGAGCATGTCTAGAGTATGTCTGGATTCTGAGGTCACAGCTACAAGTCTATACTTTCCTGATTCTTTGTTTGAGTCTTTTCTTAATAATATTAGTGCCTAAATGTTTTGATTATGTTCAGTAGTAATATACAGATTTACTGAAAGTTTACATTTTTAAACCTATTTTTCTACCCCAGAATTGTACTTATGCATTATTATTCCAGAAGATGGCTGTAACTTGAAAAAAATTATTGAAAGTGAAGCCTGAGTTTGCACATTTGATGCATTTTGGTCTTGTGACCCTGGCAAACATACAAATTTTAAGCATCTTTAAAAAAAAATCATAATTGGAAAAATTTTGGCGAGTGTTCTAAATTTTCATTTTCTAGTACATGCAGTTTCAGCTTGTAATAGATTCCGAATTCTGTGCAAAGTATAAAAATGTTCCTAATAAGTATTTTCCATTTCTGTGCAAATTACATGTACAATTTTACATGTGATTAGATTACTTCAAGGAAAAATATGATTACGTGAAGGAAAAGCAAGAATATATACAGGTAGAGGTAAACACGCAGTACCATGACTGTAACACCGAGAGGCACTGAAGTACATTTATAAACTTCTTTCTAATTAATTATTTAACTTTCATTATTGGAAGAAAGTTTCACCCTTATCAGTACACTTTCTTGATTTCTGTGTCTGACTTTGTATAATTTTAATAAATTAGGACATTGTCATACATAATAAAAAGCATTTGTGGTATGAATCCTTGAAATAACTCCATATTTAATCAAAATTATTATGAAAATAAATGTACACTATAGAATTGTGGCTCACAAGAAAAACTGATAGAAATTGAGAGACTTATTCCCTGTGTTGGATCTCCTGAATTGTTTGGAGGAAAGATGGATCAACTGTTACAAAATAATTAAAAACAAATAATTGATTTAACTTTTTATAATAGTATTTATATTTGCTGTAGCACTCAATCTGCTTTTTTGTACATATGTCATGCTCTCCTTTATTGCTTATGAAAGAATAACTGTACTGTCAGCAAATCTGTTCACCTGTAATTAAAACAAACTTTAGTAACATGATTCATAACCAATAATTGGAATTTTCCAAATTTATTGCCTCTGCAGATCCTCACCATAGAAGTTTTGTGCCATGTCTTGTGAGCAGTGGAACCACTTATAGTTATAAAATTGTTTGAAGCTATTTGTGTCTGTCTAAGATCTGAAAGTGCAAAGACCAGGAAATAGTAAAGGCAGTCTTTATAGCAGTTCTTAGTTCCTCTCTACCTTTAAATATTCACCAAAGGCCTTCAAAAAAAGAGTAAGGAAGAATTATCAGTGTGGATCTGCAGAAGCAATACAGCCAGAACTCCATGTACTGATGGGTAATCTATCTTTCTTCATCCTGAATTGCCTCTGCAGATCCACACTATAGGAGATTATCTAGAGGTATCACAGTCCAGGAGGTGGGTTGAGGAATGCTTAATTAAAACAGATATTAAAGGATTAGCTTCAGAAACCAAGAATTTGATCTAGCTGTAGAATTGGGAGTAATATTTCATTAAGGTAGGAATTGAACTCCAAGTCTCAACTACAGGGCAGCCGTATTTCAAGAATGTAGAGATTTTTCATAGAAGTAGTAGCTGATTATAATAATAAATCTCCTAGAATTTAATTTTAACCCATCCAGTACAGGTACACTGTCAATGATCCATTTAATAAAAGTTTATGTTGAAGGGCTTTTCCCTGGGATTTCTCTCCTTAATCTGTAAAGAGTTGGGAAAGGTTTTGTTCTTTCCAAATAGTAACTATTAACTGTCCAATACTGCAGACAGTTATGCACAGACTTAACTGTAAGCACATGAATAATTCCACTGGAGTCAATATGAACTACTGATTTATAGTTAAGCATATGCAGAGTGTTTGCAGGATCAGGGTTTGAGTGTTCTTATAGACTGCAGTCTGTGCAACCTTGCTTTACCTTAAAGATCATGAGGCTTAGGAAAAAACATGGGAGTCAAAAATAGGACCATCACCTTCTGAGTAGGGGACAATATTCTACTGAGGTTTTATACTATAGTATTGAACAATATTTTGAGACATTTAAAGAGGCTTCATGTTCAGTGTGGTAATGGGACTCGTGAACGTACATAAATCTCTAGGATGCTAAGGGAAATCTGAGTGGTACCCTTGGAGCTGAAGAAAGCCTAAATTACAGCACCTTGTAATGGAAGTGATCAAGAATTTCAAACAGTAAACCACCACTCAGAAAAGAACTCTACTCCCACATGCATGTCTCAATCCTTTAGCATTTCAATATATAATGTTTCTATAATGTACTTCTAAAATTTGTTCATATTATTTATTGAATTTAAATAATTTCCCAAGTGAAGCCTCTGAAAAGGCCCTTTTACTTACTGTGAATTTTGTATAACTTCCAGGAAGAATCTTGGTGAAAGCATCCTTTACCTCTGGGTGGAAAAGATACGAGAAGTTCTGATAGAAAAATCTCAGTCATCTGATACAGGTAATGTAGAAAATATGTGGTGTTTTCTGTTTACTTTTGTTTTAATTTTAAAGTAAGATGCTTCCAGCGCTTGCTCATGTTGATTCTATTCGAGATGGTGTGCGCGTCCATGTGCACCATTGTTGGAATTTTTTGCCTTCATGATATCCGTAGGGCTGGCTCTGATGCCCTCGAGTCCTGCGTCATGCCGGTATATGAGGTGCTGCTAACCCTGTGCCCTCTGTTCCTTCTTACCGCCCGTGACGGTTGTTCAGAGCGCCTGTCCTCTTGCGTCTGCGTCTTATGTCTGCAAGTACAATAGTGGTTCTCTTCTGTGCTTCATTTCCTGATTGTATATAGCGCCACTGTTTTTTTCATTATAAAATCTAATGTTAGTTTTCAATAGCCCACAATAAACTGAAAAGTGAAATTTTTGAATATTTGGGTGTAAGAACTAAAAAGGCAACTAGATGTCTGTAGGAATAAATAATGGAAGAATAAATAATGAGATATTAAGGCTTTAATGACTCCAAATAGTGTAGGAATAAATAATGTAGGAATAAGTAATGAGATATTAAGGCTTTAATGACTCCAAGAGTGTTGGCAACAACCTCTGGTCATAACTTACTCTCAGATGACAAAATTTTCTTGGCTTTTTAAAAAATGTTAGTTGGCTCAGTCAGTTTTCCTCTCAACAGGTTACCATGTTATAAAACCTAACATCATAACTGGCACTCATCTGCATAGAGATGGAACTAACTCATCCCTAGGAGTGATTTCATCCAGGTCCATGTGGATGGATCTTGGAAGGGAAATGTGAGGAAATTCTGGGGCGTAGCAAGGCCCCAGAAGGCCTGGTGCAAGAATAGGTTAGGGGCTCCCTTTCTGATTCCAATATCTAAAATTTTGCTTATCTTTACCATCTTGGAAAATCAGAACATATTTATGTTATCCATAAATACACAAACACCATATACAGGCTATGGTCTGTACATTTTTGCAAGATATTTACGCACAAAAAAGTTCTGTTCACACATTTATACAAAATGATCAGAGGCAGTGATGTAAATTTTGTAGTGGAGGGTACATTATCTCAAGTTGATAATTCTGTCATGTGTGTCTTGTGTGTGATGTTGTCATAAGATAAAACACCCATATTCAAAACCTAACAAACATTTTACGAATACATTTTAACTACTTGACAATCTATTGCAACAGCAGTTATGAGACTTCACACATTAGTAATACATATCATATAAACATAGAACACACACAACTCAGATTTTATATGCCAAATATTAAACTAAGAAGCAAGGTACATTGAAAGCACATATGTAGTTAGTCAAAAATCCCAAGGGCTTGAGTCACTGTTGTGTTACTATAGTTTCAAGTTGGTGCACCTGTATTAGAATTAAACAGATGGAGTTACACTGCTGTAAAAGGGGAGCACAGGCAGTCCTTGACTTTGTTGTTCGACTTATGACAAATGGCACAGCACTTCTGAATTGACACCCTGATTCAACTTAGGAAAATTGGTTTTGACTTTACGATGCTCAGTCCCGCAATGGACTGGATTGCGGTTCTGAGTTACGACATTTCAACTTATGACTCAATTTTCGGGAACCAATTGTGTCGAAAGTCGAAGGACTGCCTGTGATGCAATGTGGAACCTTTATACCTGAACCCACAGTTTTGCCTGTGAAAGAACTTGCAGCTTGACCACAAACAGCATTTGCTTTACATTCACATCATGTGGCTGGGCACCAAATGCAAGCAAATGTCACAGATATACAGACTGCTCTTGAAAGTGCAGTCACTAGTCACAAAAAGCAAACACAAGAATCCATACTGCCAGGCAATCAATCAATCAATCAAACAAAAACATATATTAAAACAACTACATTTGTAGCACTTTTCCAAGATCATGATACCTTTGATACACTTTTCCAAGATCATGATAGTCCATTTCCCATTACTATCTAAGTCAGGCACTTATGTTGCTTCCATGTCATAGAAATATTTTCTGGCCTAGATAAAAAGCCAGCCTTCACCAACATCTGTAACATCTTCTAAGTACCTCTAAGATACACACTCTATTGAGATAGGGTTTGTTCCCACCCCATAGGGCAAGATTCAGTGGTATGCTCCAGCTACTCAATAAGCCCAATTTAACTGTCTTATCAGATGAGGTTGACAATAGTTTTCCATTGTCAAAATGTTGCATAGGAGCTAGAGTGCAGTAGTGAAAATAGCTTAGTTAGGAGAAACACATTCTAACAGAACTAAGAGATTAATTCTAATCAGGGGCTGCTTCCCATCTGTGCCCCTGCAGCCACTCAGCTCAACCACAATGGGACCTGGACACCACCAGCCTGGCTCCCATTCTATATCCCCTTTCTGACCCCCTGAGCCCATAATCTGGCCCCCTGCACCCGAAGCCCATCCCAGCCCCCACCCTCTGCCTGGCTCTTCATACTTGCACCATGTACCCCCCACTCGCCTCCCCACACTCCACTCCCACAGGTTATCCCAGCATGCACCTTCTGCCTGTCCCCCTGCACTTCACACCCCCAGCCCACACCCCCAGCCTCTTCTAGCTCATACTCCCTGTCTGGTTCCCTGCACCACCAGTCCTCCCTACAACTTTCCAGATGAGCTTCTCGCTGGTGACATGGTGACTATAGTGCAAATCCAAGGCTGCAACCAGGGCAGGGGCTGCGGGCTGCCAAGCATCAGGGCCCATGGGGTCTGGCTTCGGAGTGGCATGTGCATTGGGATGCCAACGTGAAGGCCCAGCAGCATTCGTGGTGCTTCCATTGGCAGCTCTGAGCTGCTTGGTGCCTGAACCACAGCCATGATCGTACCATGCTGGGAGCAGGAAGTGGCTGTGGAGAGGGCAGGAGTGCTTCCCTGTCAGATAGCCTGGGTGCCGCTTCCTGGTCCTCAGAGCCCCTGGGAGCATTTTTCTCGGAAGCCCAGCTAGGGGCTGTTTCCTGCTCTTTGGAGCCCCAGCTGGTTGGCTGCTGCCTAGCCAGCCTGTAGGTAGACTGTGATGAAAGTACAATGATCCCTAAGGTAGAACAGCCTCTGCTGGGTAGGCCCCCATAACCTTATGAGCCTTGATATGACAGCACCTCTCACGCCATTGTAGCTATGCTACTGAGGAAACTGGCACTGCCAGCAACCATAAGAATGTCTAATTTCCAGTGAATAAAAGACTTCAGTCTCCAGCACTGTCAGTGTAGCATCTTTCACCACCATAGAACTTAAACGTGACCAGAAAGAAATTGGGAATAGTAAAAACTGAAGGATTTTATTACCTCATACTAGTTATAGTTGGGCATTAGGTTCAGATCTTTCCTACAGGGCTGAACAAATGACCTGAGCTGGAGGGAACAGTCACTAACACTAACTGTCACTAGGCTAAAAAGCTTAGTCTTTATATTTAAAAATAGAGTAGACAAAATACTAAAAGTGCACCATAGGGAACAATCCTACTTTAGCAGGGGGGATAGGTTTGATAACCTACCAGGCCATTTTCATCTCATTTCTGATTCTGTGAGTAAGTCAGTCTTCACACTTCCTTGACCAAAGCATATAATTTTTGCCAAATTATGTGGACTGTTTTTGTGGTATGGAACTCTGTTTAATGTGGATCACACTTGGATGACTAAACTTCAGTTTTCATTCTGATCTTACTATTTATTTAACAACAACAACATTTTAATCTTTTGATCTAAATAGTAGGTAATGATTTTCTTCAGTTTTAAAAACCAATATTAAAACAGAATATGTTTTATAGTCTATTGCATATGGCTACCATACTGCCAGTAGAAAGAAAAGGAGTACTTGTGCCACCTTAGAGACTAACCAATTTATTTGAGCATGAGCTTTCGTGAGCTACAGCTCACTTCATCGGATGAAGTGAGCTGTAGCTCACGAAAGCTCATGCTCAAATAAATTGGTTAGTCTCTAAGGTGCCACAAGTACTCCTTTTCTTTTTGCGAATACAGACTAACACGGCTGTTACTCTGAAACCTGTCATACTGCCAGTATTACAATAATACCTTTTAGCAAGATTGCAATCACAAATATTGCACAAAAAATGACAGTTGCAATTAATGTTATTTTCAAATACATTTAATAGTTTAATCAGTCATAAAACTGATTTATTCTTTTGGTTTTAGAGACTTTTGAGCAAAGTGATCGGAGATTATACTTTGCGCTAGACAACCCTGATAAAATTTGTTACAAATTCTATCATTCTACACCAGCAGGACCAAACGTTGAGAAAATTACTGAAGAGATTGATGAAGATGATGAAGACAATGAAGGTGATTATTCCCTGGAGTATCAACCAGTTCAAGAAGATACAGTTAAAACATTGAATTTTGTTATATCTGAAAGCCAAGAAGGTAAAAGAATCTCTACTAATTTTGTTATAAAAATTTAGAAGAGAAAATCTTTATATTTCTACTTTTTATCACCATCCTTTGTATTTTATCAAATAATAATGCAATATTTGTTTTTAAAAAGTATTTTGTTTCCCTAGCGTATAGTACTGTATAGTAACTATAAAACTTCCTTTTTTTGTGGTGTGTGAGATATTGTCATTTCAGCTTTTTCTGAGTTGTTATTTAGAATTTATTTTTATTTCCTAGCTAGCTAAATACATTGTTAGGAAGTTGTAAACATATTTCTCCCCAAAATAAAAATATAAATAAAGAGGTCTTAATTTTAAATCGGTAGATGAAGAACTGCCACCAATTAATCATGGAAACCCAATCTCGGACCGAAGGAGCACTTTTCAAGCACATCTTGCTCCTGTAGTGAGCCCCAAACAGGTTAGTAAAGCTTGTAAGACAGATTTGTATCCTACAGTTTTGTGCCTGATTAAATACCACTGATGTACTTGGAACTATCTGAATGCATCTCTATTTTGTGAAAAGTATATTAATACTGTTGTGATAAGAACCAGTCGTTGTCATTCACCATTTGCTGAATCTATTCCCTGTGATACTTCCCATTAATGCAGTTGTCCCACATCACTGTTGAAGAAGGTAAGTATTATTATCACTTGCTTTCAAGTGGACTAGGCATGGGATTGGGAGTGAGGAGATTTGTTTTCTAGTCCTAGTTGTGACACTGACAAATTGTGTAAAGTGCCTTTCTACTCTGAAAAGGGACTGAATGCACATTAAATTTCTAGCTCAACATCTTTAATCTTTTTTGTATTCTTAGTCACATGTTCTCATTTTAGTGATACAAATAATAATTATTTTTCAGTCTCTTTGATACTATATAGCCAATAAAGCTATGGAAAAGTGATCTGGAGTCTTGTGGATCATTAACAAAATTCTGTGTCTATTATACCTGAACAAAAACAGAAAACAAGAGTATTGGGTGCAATTTAGCCTGTTCTATAGCATTACCTTTTCTGCTCTTCTTTGGCTGATCATAAGGGGATTAGTTGTTTAAAATGCATGCTTTTGTGGTTGGCATTTACATTTTTGACAGCTGCTACAAAGAGGGGAATGATGGTTAGGGCATTAGCCAAGGACTTGGGAGTTCAAATCCCTGCTCCACCACAAGAAGTTTGTGTGACCTTGGGCAAATCACTTAGTCAATGTTTCTGTTTCCCACCTGTAAAATGGGGCTAATAGTATTTCTCTACCTCTCAGGCATGTTGAGCATAAAATGCATTAAAGATTGCGAAGTGCTCAGATTCTGTGTCAACAGGGGCCATATGAGTACTTTAGATATATAGAACAAACCTGTTGGAGGTAATAGAGTTGCATGGTTGTCATGGAGGGTGTAATGTGACCTACAGAATCTTTATCACTTGACATATACATATTATTTTGACTACGGTGGCTAGACGGGCACTAAAATTCAGTTCCTCTGGATAATATGGCTTCAGGAAAGGAGGGAATCAGTACCACCAATGTTATTTCCTCTTCTTGCTTTGGGTTACTTGCACCTATTGGTCACAGTTCTTAAGCTACGCATAGCACAGATACTGATAGGAGGAAGCCCATAACCAGTGGGTGTGCGCTTCCTAAAGTATATATTTGTGACATGGACACAGTAGGATCTCCGCAGAGAGGTACTCATCTGAACAGGTTTTTAAAGCTACCTATGCAGAAAACTAAATAATTCTTCTCCTTTCCTCTCTTCATCCCTCCTCTCAAAATAATTAGGAAATTTCAGACAGACAGGGTTTTGATTGGGCAAAGTTAAAGTGATGGTATGTGTGGTCAAAACTGGGTTCATAACAAAAACTAGCTTCATCAGTAACTATGGAGGGAATAGCATCTATTCATAACACTTTGTCTACTTCACAATATTAATTAATACTTGTAAAGCACTATAAAAATGTAAGGTGCTTTGTAACGTCTAAATATTGTTCAGTATTTTACATTTATTTTTTAACAGTTTCAATTAACCTTTAATATGGTTTTAAATAATATTACTTTTAATTGGTATAGTAATTATTATTTTAAAACTGAAAACAAAGGTAATGGGTAAATGGGTAATGGTAAAACACAGGCAATTTAGCATGTTTTCTAGCATTACTTTTTCTACTCTTCTTTGGCTGAAGGGTTTAGGTGTTTAAAATGCAACAGCTTCCATGGTTGGCATTTAATTTTTTGAAAGATGCTACAAAGAGTTGACCTGGTGCTTGGAAGATAACTTTTGGTATTTTATGTTTTGAGTTTGCAAAGGGGCTTCTTTACCCGCCCTGGGTCTACATTCATTGGGCATTATTTATTATTCTGACTTAATATTTTGTGTTAACTTATTCTTTTGATATTTAAAAAACAAAAACATGCACATTGCATATATAGTCTATGGAACTGGATTGTTTGATCATTTTGGAATGTATCTTTACTTGGCATCTTTTCTATGTATATACTTGAAAGTATAAAATACTAATCCAATTTGAAAGTGTTATCTCCCTTTGAGTATCCTCGTTTCCTCCACCAAACAAATTAATTCATACAAGATACACTGAAAAAATCCTTCATAAATTCTTACTGGTGAGATGAAAAGCAATAATGAATGCCCTAAGCTAGTTTGTGCTTACCCACAGGAGAAGGGCAAAAGACCAGGAAAATATATACTTAACCTCCAGATTGTCAGATGACTGTCCCTTCTACTGGGAGGAGTTTAGGGAGAAAGGCTTGGGGTTAGTGTTTGGGCTCCTAATCTCGCAGATTCTGATGGCTCACAGTGAAAAAGAACCCTCTTGCTGTGGTTTCAGAGGTGTCCACTTGGAGGGCTGGCTTCTCCCCAAGGTTCTCCATTGGCTTCCATCCCAGCCCTGGCAGTATGTCTCCTTCAGGTCCTGTGCATCCATTGGTTGAGTCCCTCTGAAGTGCAGTAGCAGTTACAGAGGAGCCAAGCTCTTAAGGAGTTAATGCTGTATTAACTCTCAGTTGGCTATCCACTTAGATATCTGCATGGTCAGCTAGGCATGATGCATCAGAAGACTGGTGCTGTTTCACCTCCTTTGGCTCCACCTCCAAAATAATATAGAAGAAGGATCCTTCAGAGCTCCACTAGAGCTTTTGTGTGATTCTAGGGTGATGCCAGGTAAAAAAATGCCAAGTAGTGGCTACTTATCTCCCTGTATGTCCCAACTGCAAGAGCTACTGGGTTCCATTCCTTTGTTCCCCACACTTCTATGGGCAATCTAGCCATTAGTGTGAAATCAGATTAAGCTGATTTAGTAAAATCACACTGAAAAATCTTCAGATCCATTGTATACTATTGAATTTTATTTAAATCTATTATGGAAAAGATGTGTATGTATTTAACTTTATTGCAGAGTTAAAAAATTGAAAAAGCACAGGAGGAAATATGTGCGAAGAAAAACCAACATTTTTAATGGAAATTCTTTAGAATTCATTATGAGAGGAGCACACAAAATTTGAAATAAACAGAAATTCAGGCATCTAATCTTGTATCTTAGTAACAAGTATGGAAAATTAAATCATTTAGAAATATACAACATTCCAGATACATCTGTTTGAAATAACAGATGAGATCTGCCCAAATAATGGTATAGGGATTAAAAATAAAAAAATCCCCCACGCTTTTTTTCACAATCTGCTGCAAATAAAATTCATGGAGCATCCTGGAAAACTTGTACTAGACATAACTGCACTCACTATCAGTCTGTATATGTTGGATCACAGTTTAAATCTGTGCCATAACAGGTTTGCAAAGATTCATCTGAATGGAGGGAATGATACTCTGTTATGTGTAATATCACCTAAAATAGTACATTATAGATTCTAAGGGGAGAAGGGACCATTATGATCATCTAGTCTGACTTTCTGTATAACACAGGCCATAGAACTTCCCTAAAATAATTCCTAGAGCATACTATTTAGAAAAGCATCCAATTTTGATTTAAAAATTATCAGAGATGGAGTATCCACCACAATCTTTGGTAAATTGTTCCAATGGTTAATTACTCTTTCCATTAAAAAGTTATGCCTCATTTCCAGTCTGAATTTGTCTAGCTTCGACGTCCAACAATTGGATCATGTTATACCTTTCTCTGCGAGATCGAAGAGCCCATTATTAAATATTGTTCCCCGTGTGAATACGTTTGGACTGTAATCAAGTTACCCTTAACCTTCTCTTTATAAAGCTAAATAAATTGAGCTCCTGGAACCTATCGCTAGAAGGCACGCTTTCTAATTCTTCAGTCATTCTCATGGCTCTTCATGAACCCTCTCCAATTTATCAACATTTGTCTTGAATTGTGAGCATCTGAACTGGACACACTGTTCCAGCCCAGTCACACCAGTGCCAAATATAGAGGTAAAATAACCTCTCTACTTCTTGAGATTCCCCTTTTTGTGCATCCCAGTATCTCATTAGCTCTTTTGGTCAGAGCATCACATTGGGAGATTATGTCCAGCAGACTATCCACCATGACCCTCAAATCTTTTTCAGTCGCTGCTTCCCAGGATAGAATCTCCCATCCTGTAAGAATAGCCTACATTCTTTGTTTATAGATGTATACGTTTACATTTAGCCCTATTAAAATGCATATTGTTTGCTTGTGCCCTGTTTACCAAGCAATCCAGATTGTTCTGAATCCGTGACCTATCTTCTTCGTTATTTACCACTCCCCCAGGTTTTGTGTCGTCTGCAAACTTTATCAGTAATAATTTTGTTTTCTTCCTGGTTATTAATAAAATTGTTAAGTGGTGTAGGACTAAGAACCAATCCCCACAGGACCCCACTGGAAATGGACCCTCTTGATGACAATTCCCCATTTACAATTAGCCAGTTTTTAAGCCATTTACAGTGTGCCATGTGAATTATATATTATTCCAGTTTTTAATAAAAATGTTGTATGGTAACAAGTCAAAAGCCCCACAGAAGTATGAATATATTACATCAACACTGTTGCCTTTATTAACCAGACTTGTAGGCCAAGGCCAAGGCACAATTGGAATTGCAGCTAGCAAGGGATGTGAAGGGTAACAAGAAGGGTTTCTACAGGTGTGTTAGCAACAAGAAGATGATCATGGAAAATGTGGGATCCTTACTGAATGGGGGAGGCAACGTAGTGAGAGATGATGTGGAAAAAGCTGAAGTACTCAATGCATTTTTTGCAGCTCCCAGACTGCTGCACTGGGTAACGCAGCATGGGGAGTAGGTGATCAACCCTCAGTAGTGAAAGAACAGGTTAAGGACTACTTAGAAAATGGATGTGCACAAGTCCATAGGTCCAGATCTAATGCATCCAAGGGTGCTGAGGATTTGGCTGATGTGATTGCAGAGCCATTGGCCATTATCCTTGGCGATCAGGGGAGGTCCT